AATTTTTGGAATCTTGTGCAATGAATTATAAAAGGTAGTTAACTTTTTTTAGACCATCTAAGAAAAACCTAAATCTTAAAAAATTTCCGGTATTAAAGTAGAAATTAAATATGTGTAATAATTCGAAAGTTATTAACCTAAATAAATTAGTAAACTTAAATTATTATTTTAAAATACTTAAACCCAAATTGTCTAGTGACAGTGTTTTCTTTCTTATATATTATATTATATTATTCTTATAAATTGATGCAAAACAAGATTTTAAAATATGTCTTATATAAATCACACATAAAGTGCTGCTATAGTAGTCATGTATGTCAATGGCTGCACTGGATAAATACAACTAAACATTGCCATTGATATCCACCAATGGTATCTAACTCTAATTAAAATTTTACGTGACATAAATTTTCATATCATTCCTAGTTAGGCCAAACAACGTAGAATAGAAAATACTTTGAGCAATATTTGTTTTATTGGCTTGAGAGGTGAAAATAATGTTTCATGTTAATAATAATTGGGGAAAAGTTTGGTTACAAAAAGATTATCAAAAATAAATAAAAATCATAATAAACTTTATGTTTACCTCTTTGATTTGTTGTTTTATTAATTTAAATTATTAAAAAAAATATGACCACGACACAATGCAGCACCATTAAAAGCGTAATTAATTAAATTTTATACGATTAATTTTAGTTGATGTATAAGGTGAACTCTTACATAATTATTTTTATTATAAACCGCAGTGGGACAAAGTTTAATTTTTTTATTATTCACATATTTTTTTTCTATATTTGAAAACTAAAATTACATTTTTGGCCCTCCACCATTAGCGGGATACCCTCAGATTTAATCACATTAAACTGCACGTTATTTTTTCCTTCCCAAGAGATAAAAATTCAACGGATAGTCGAAGTTTTGAAAAATACAAATGTTTGTTTGTCGATTTGCACATCTTCTAAATGGAATGTATGACCACATTTAGCTTTCACACTTGACGAGAGCAGTGCTCCCCAAAGCCAAACTAGCCACTGTGATTTTCTTTTGATTGTCCTAATTTTTCACCCTTCCTGCTCCTATATATACATATATTTATATGTATATATATATGTGTGTGTATATATATTATCTTTAAAAGCAGCTGTGTTTGCTTTATTCGAATGATTTTAATATATTAATTGACAAAATACTAATTTCAATAAAAGGAAATGTATTCTGTGACTATTGGAATTTTCCTTTTGTTAAGAAGTTAGAAAGTAAAATTTTAAGACTTATTTTTTTTATTGAATGAACTAACTATTAATATTTGTTGACTATAATGAATAGTTTAGTGTTACATGATAATACATTTATTTTATTTTTATAAAATATGTTTATATAATATATTACGTAAAAAATAAAAAGTTTAATTTTGATATTTGAAAATAAAATTATTTAAGAGCAAATAGATGGAAATCATTGGCTAATTTGACTCAAATGATGGGAGTATTTTTTAAGGATAAGAATTACATGAGTATCATTTAAACAAATCTAGAGAAAATGGATTATTTTTTTCCTAAATGAAAATGAAATTAGTTCTCCAAATTTTTAGAAATTTAGGAATTTTATTTTAGGGAAAATAATTTACAAAAATATTTAGAAATTATTTCCTTATAATTTAATCAATGTGTTGAAGAAAAAATCAAAAGAAAAAAAAAAAGTATGCTTCTAATTAAACCAAACACCTCCTTAATTGTATAGATCTCACGGGAACCTAAATTATAACAATTCCTGTGCGAAGTAAAAAGCTCAAGACATTGGATCACATGTGAAGACTCGGACTGCTAGGGTGTATCCTACTCATTGATCTACTCTCCTTTAATCTTGTACAAGCACGTATATTTAACATGTGACTGCGCATGTAAATAATTATTTTATCTCATTAAACTTATTATTTTATACATTTTATATGCAGTCTTTTCAATTGGATTATATTAAAATCATAAATAATTCAAAATTTATATTATCACATCAACATTATGAGTTGCTATATATTATCTTTTTTAAAAAAAAAAATTCATTTTAATTAAAGTAACATTTTCATATCCTAACATAAGGTCTAAATTTTTATTTTACCACATCAAAATTTTTTAAATACATCTTAACCTTAACCATTGAAAGATATTAATGATTCAGCTATTTTTAATTGAGAAAATTCAAAATCTAGGATAGGCCACATTCATTCATCACGTTGAGCATGCCAAAAAAAGGATTTTTTACTTTTTAAATCAGTAATTCAAAACAATTCAAACCAACTGTACAGTAAATGTTAGGCACGTGATTCTCAACTCTTTTGTGATCTAGGCACGTGATTCTCAATTTATGCCTTTTTTTTTTCCCTCCCCTTTCACCAAAATGGTAATAAGCTTCGCAAGTCCTACCATATTAGAAGCGTCTCTCTCTCCACAGACAAAGGATCAGGACTTGTTTGGTTTGTGAATTTTCTAACGATTGAAACATTTTTCTCTGAGAATTTGGAAAAAGATATGATGATTTTAGAAAATTTCCAAAAATTCTTTTTTTTGGAACCGATCATACGTTCCACAACATTTATATATAATTTAAACAAACAACCAACCCCCGGGCTAGAGAGCCCAAAATTTTTTGGCTCTCAAAAAATTCTTGCCAAACATGCCCTAAAATTGCACGTGCTTGACTACGTAGTTGAATATTTCTGATTGGCTGCCATACCAAAATGGACGCATGTTTAGTTTGATAATGCCATTTTACTTTTTTCTTTTTAACAAACAGGGGAAGCATTTATTCATTCATTCATTTGTTTATTTATTAATACAAAATGACAAAGAACTGACATCTGCCGCTTGATCGAAGCATCCGGTTCCAGCTATCTTGCTGTTTGATGTCAGCGGTTAGTTCTGGTTTCTATTTTAATTAACGTTGTTATTTTGTCTTAATAACTCTACGAATTATACACAAAATTTTCAGATATTTTGATATTATAATGGATTTGAATTTATGGTTGAAACGGTGTACTGTGTTTGTTTGGAAATTATGATTTATTTATTTAATGCTTTTCGCATGTGAAACGCTTGTCGAGTTGGAGCTCATCCTACTTTTAGGGCCCGTCATAAATTAGTTTTTTAAGTCGTGACAAAAAGCGTAATAAATTAAATTTTATACCACTAGTTTTAGTTGATATATAAGGTGAATTCTTACGTAATTATTTTTATTATAAACCACAGCTGGACAAAGTTTGATTTTTTGATTATTCACATATTTTTTGCTATATTTGAAAACTAAAATTACATTTTTGGCCCTCCACCATTAGCGGGATACCCTCAGATTTAGTCACATTAAACTGCACGTTATTTTTTCCTTCCCAAGAGATAAAAATTCAACATATAGTCGAAGTTTTAAAAATACAACTGTTTGTTTGTCGATTTGCACTTCTTTCTAAATGGAATGTATGACCACATTTGGCTTTCACACTAGACGAGAGCAGTGCTCGCTAATGCCAAACTAGCCACTGTGATTTTCTTTTGGTTGTCCTAATTTTCCACTCCTTCTGCTCCTATACACACACACACACACACACACACACACATATATATATATATGTGCATATATATGTGTGTATATATAGATATTATCTTCTAAGGCAGCTGTGTTTGCTTTATTCGAATGATTTTTATATATTAATTGACAAAATACTAATTTCAATAAAAGGAAATGTATTCTGTGACTACTGGAATTCTCCTTTTGTTAAGAAGTTAGAAAGTAGAGTTTTAAGATATTAATTTAACTTTCACTTGTTTGGATTACTCATTTTAAACTGAAAATCTAAGAAAAATAGTCAAATAATCTAACTTTTAACAATCTAATTTTACTTATTTTATTTTCTTAAAAAAATTTAAGAACATTTTTAATAAAATTATAAAATCGGATTCTTATTAAGTTTTTAAATTTTTTATATTAAATCAAGTAGTGTAAAAATAAATTTTTTATTGAATGAATCAACTATTAATATTTGTTGATTATAATGAATAATTTAGTTTTAAATGATAAAACTTTTATATTATTTTTATGAAATATGTTTATATAATATATTACATATAAAATAAAAAAAATAATTTAATATATTTTATTATATCTATACAATAATTTCACCAATTCAAGAAGAGTATAAGTAATATTATTTTAAAAAAAATTTATCACATTTTATCATTTCGAATAAATTTTATCATACCTATTAAATCTTGATAATTTTATCTTAATTTAGTTGAAAAAACTAGATGATGACAGAAATCTAAATTTTTTATATCAACTATTTACAAGATTATTTAATATGCATAAAAATGTAATAAGATAGAATAATTTACTTTATTTTTATTTTATCAAATCAAGTAAACAGTGCCAGGCGAACGGGCCGTAGTTGAATATTTCTGATTATTACCTGATAAGATTGACTGCCATACGTATCTTTTAGTTTTATAATGCCATTTTTCTTTTTTTTTTAACAAACGGGGGAGGTATTTATTTATTTATTCATTCATCCAATTATTTATTTATTCATACAGAATGACAAGGAACTGACATCACTTCATCGAAGTTCCAGAACTTTCGGGGAAAAAATGTAAAAAGCGAAAGTGTAATCAAACTTCCACAATCAAAGTCAAAAAGTCACTAAGAAACTTCAACGATCCACGGAGGTTGTAGGGCCCCGTTTGGACCCATCATCCGTGTGAATATCCAGGAAGCTTCATGGCTTTTACATTAATAAATATACATTGTGATATATACACAGCAGTAGATACATAAATAGCAAAAATAAAAATAAAGAAAAGGTGATGCATGGGTCTCCCACATAAAGTGGGATGGTCTAACAAGGCACAAAGACCATTCAGCCATTGGGCTTGGACTAAACGTGCGTTTTGTGGGTCCCTAACCAATACATTTAACCCCCTGCTCGCCATCTTGATCGACTGTGCCAACTTGACAGTCCCTATAAATACCCCTGCCTCGACTCCTTTCTCCGCACAGCACAGATAGAAGCTCTGAGAGAGAAAGAGAGAAAGGAAGACACATATATTATCACACCCATACACGGAGAAAGAGAGAGAGAGAGAGGGATGGCGAACTTTCCGGTGATCAACATGGAGAAACTGAACGGTGAGGAGAGGGGAGACACCATGGCCCTCATCAAGGATGCCTGTGAGAATTGGGGCTTCTTTGAGGTATACACTCCTTGCACTGACTTTTCAATCCAACTATCTAAAAAAAAATCTAGACATCTAATTTCTGTATCATCTCACATTTCTTAGGCACATTCTTCATGAGAGTTGGGAGAATTTTAATTTTGAATTTTTGCACTATTAAATTAGTTGTTGGAATTAATTATTAACGTTTTAATTATATGTATGTAGTTGGTGAACCATCGGATACCACATGAGATGATGGACGCTCTGGAAAGGATGACGAAAGAGCACTACAGGAAGTGCATGGAACAGAGATTCAAGGAGCTGGTGGCCAGCAAGGGCCTTGAAGCCGCCAGGCTGAGGTCACCGACATGGACTGGGAGAGCACCTTCTTCCTTCGCCACCTCCCTCAGTCTAACATCTCTGAATCCCCGATCTTGACGACGACTACAGGTACGTACAATAAGACAGCTATTCACTCCAATTTGGATATTTAAGAAGCCATATTCCTAACACTGTTCATATTTTTAATTATTTAAGAATTTTTTATTTGGTCATTGGACTTTTGATTTTATTAATTAAATCCGTGAATTAATGAGATTCAATAATTATCACGGAGTAGAACCTTACTCAAGTCAAGGGAATAAATGGAGAACTTGAAGTGACCTTTATGGCTTAAAATCCCATGAAAATTGGAAAAAAAAAAAGAAATTATTTTCCAGCCCAGTTACTAAATTACTTCGGAAAAGTTTATAAACCATTTTCTGTATGTTTTAATAATGCAGGAATCTGTTCAAGGTGTTTGCCAAAAAACTAGAGGAGCTGCCGAGGAGCTTTTGGACTTGCTCTGCGAGAACCTGGGGCTAGAGAAGGGGTACTTGAAAAGGCCTTCCATGGGACCAAGGGCCCAAACTTCGGGGACTAAGGTGGCAAACTACCCACCGTGCCCAAAGCCAGAAACTTATAAAGGGCTGCGAGCACACACCGACGCCGGCGGCATCATCTTGCTCTTCCAGGATGACAAGGTCAGCGGCCTCCAGCTCCTCAAGGACGACAAATGGGTCAACGTTCCCCCCATGCGCCACTCCATCGTCGTCAACCTCGGTGACCAAATTGAGGTAATTGTGCCTAAAAATTATAAGTAATTTCCTGTATGGGAAAGACCTTGAGTGTTTTTTCTGATCCAAAAAAAATAAAAATAACTTTAACACAAATTTTCTAAAATCTTCATTAACTGGAGAAATCCTAATTGAAATTTTCATTTTTTAAATTTAAAGAAACGAAGAAATACCCCTCAAACGATTATATTCCAAAACAAATACTCATTCCTATCTCTTACCCAGTTTGATTCTCTCTAGTCAGTTTTCTTTAGTTTCATGTGCTGGAAAACTTTTTTTGTAACTTTTAACGAGTAGCTTAGTTTTGTTAGTTTTTAATACAAGCTAGATAAGAATATAAAGTAAATTTAATTTACAAATTCAGGTGATAACTAACGGAAAGTACAAGAGCGTGCTGCACGGGTGGTGGCCCAAACGAACGGTAATCGAATGTCCATAGCATCATTCTACAACCCCAGCAACGATGCCATCATCTTCCCAGCGCCAGAGCTGGTGGCCAAAGAGGCGAGGATGAGAAGCAAATTTACCCAAAATTCGTGTTCGACAACTACATGAAGCTCTATGCCACTCTCAAGTTCCAGCCCAAGGAGCCAAGGTTTGAAGCCATTAAAACCATGGAATCAAATGTCAATCTGGGTCCAGCGGCCAGAGCTTGAATGAAGGCCGCAGTAATATGGAGAGAAGACGCGCGCCGGGGGGGGTTGATAAAAATTAGTGCATCTTACAATTTCTTTTATATGTATTTAATTTACTATTTTTAGGTTAAATATTTTAGTTTCTATTTTTTGGTAGTTTCTAGTAATGGATTAATGGTAGTTAATGGTAATTTCTAGTAATGGGTTAGTAGTGGGTTAGTGGTAGTTTCCTTTAATTTAACTTTAAGTGGTTGGAGACTTTTAAGGGTGTGATATTTGTGGATCTTACCCATATATATATATATATATATATCTAATTCACGTATGCTGTATTGCAGCATGTGAATGCAATTAGTTTTCTTTTAATCTCTCATCATATTACTTTCAACTCTTGATTCTGGCATATTACTTTCAACTCTTGGTTCTGGCTCTCTTGTTTTGTTTTGTTTTTTTTTTTTTTTTTTTTTGGGGGGGGGGGAGGCAGAGAGGAGAGAGGAGAAAAAATAAAATAAAAAAAAGAAAGAAAGAATGATAAATAAACTGATTGTATAATTCTTTCTACTTATTTCTTTAAAGAGTTATTATTTTAATAGTATTTACAACAATTTAATAAATCATAAATTTGAACTATTTTCTTGTCAAAATTATTGGTCTAAAATAATTAAAACGTGAAATATTTAATAATTTTCAAAAAACTTTTATATCCTTGACAATTCTCAACAGTCATGCAAATGCGTATCTATTCGGATATTTTTATAATCGAAGTCTCATAGAGTGCTTCAATTATTTGGCAGTAGAGAAAAGATACCCGGTACTCGGTAATTTACCATTAGCTTGCAAGTCCTTCTTGTCCTCCTTGTCTCGTGCTTATAGGTCTTACGCAGGCCTACAATTCTCCCCCTTCTCCTTCCTTTGCGTTTTGTTCTCTCCTTTCCCTCCTAAGATCAAGCATTTCTGGTGGTTGGTTTGTGTCACAGAATTACTGTTAGGGACAATTTTTTTACTTAAGACTTGTCCCTTCTCCTGTATATCAATTTTATGAGAAATAGGCAGGACGTGTCATTTATTTTTCAAATATAACTGGACCGGGACTGTTTTGATAATACTTGTATTTATCTCTCAAATTAAATTGCCGTAAAACCGAACTTTCCCTCTGGCTAGATGGTCCGAATCCCTGATTCTCAATCCTCCATCCAAAGGAGAGGGTCTCAACCTACCAGCCCAAATAGCTCAAATTAGTGGGGGGATAAATGACAGGATTTCAAAAGCATTAGCAAATCTAAATTTTGAAAAAATATAAAAATTTTAGAAATTTGGGCTTTTAGAGGAAGTAATTTATTAAATTATTTAGAAATTATTTCTTTATAGTTTAATCAATGTGTTTTAGAAAAAACCAAAAAAAAAAAGGTATAGGAAAAATGTACCTTTGATTAGACCAAAAACCTCTTCAGATCCCACCCGAACGTAACTTATAACAATTCCTACGTGGAGTACAAAATTTGAATCATTATATCCAAATCCGGCCGACTCTAATTCATAGCTTCTATACTTCTTTTTGATCCATTCTTCTTTAATCTTGTATAACTACATATTACTCAACTTAAAAAGAGGCTTCTAATATAAATAATTCGCTTATCTTATTAAACCTATCATTTAATACATTTCGTATTCAGTATTCTAAATTCTATGCTATTTTTAGTTGACTGACATTGCTTGGTATACATTCTTGACTTTTTGAATCGTTTGGCCAAAGATTTTGAGTGACTGATCTATCAGAACAACTTAGGGAGTGTTCGCTTTAGGAGATAGGATAAGGGGTGATAGAGCAGGTAGGATAAAATTTATCTTACCCGTATAGTATTTCACCC